CCCCAAAACCCCAAAACCCCAAAAAAACCCCAAAACCCCAAAACCCCATGATATCAATTTTAGTAGAATTATTAAATATTTTATTTAAACATATTATAATATTTATAACAACAACAAAATATTGAGTGTATGATATTTCATACTTTATTTGGCTTTGCTCCCTTTTTTGCAGATTTCTTCCCTTTTTTTACTCTTAATCTTTTTATTGTCTTTTTATCTTACTCCTCCTCTTTAGCTTCTTCCATAATTTCCTAGACTGCTTACTCTGGCTCTATTGCTTTTTGCAAAGCTGCTTTTTACTTCTATAATTCTGAGAATAATGCCTGGTAGGACATCTCTGCACCATAGAGTTTCTTGTTAAGATCCTCTAGGGTACCAACGAATTGCTGTCTTTCATGATTTTTTTCATACTTGAGTCTTCGAAGTTATTCCCTCCACTCTCTCACTATTGAATAATTAAATATTAATTGATATCTTACATTCTTCTATAGTCTTTTCGTTTTCTTTACAGGCCTTAAAGAATTTTCTCTGCTCATTTTTAAACATCTTCTCATTCTCATTCAGAAGTTTAAGATGTCTCTCATCTACCTTTTATTCTTAGAAATCCAAATCTCTTTATATATTAGTCAGCTAATTAGAAGCCTCCTGCACCACTGAAAATTTACTCTTTAGATCTTTAGATAACATCTCATATCTATCATCGATAACTTTAAATTTACTCTCTACCTTGACCTTTTTAACTTTACACTTCTCGATGTTTAACTTAACTTGATGAATCTATTAATTTGTTTTTATCAGGTTTTCTATCTCAAGTTGCTATATAGGGCATTGATCACCTCTTGCTTTGGCGATGTTATCATGAGAAAGTTTGTTTATTTATGTTAAGTATTTAGGACTAAAACTATTCCATCCTAGATTCAAATGTGTTAAGCTTTTATTTTTTGATAGTGCTTAGCATAATTCTTTTGCACATTCATCTTTAATGTCTGTGTCAAATAGATGAACTTACGTGAGGCAATTATTCTTTTGAAATGCTCGAGCAATCATGAGACCTCCAAAATCTCCCAGTCTATTTTCAGATAGATTCAGATTTAATAAACTATTTTAGTTGCTCTCAAGAAGCTTAGCTATTCTAATTGCCCCTTATTACTCAATAGAATTCTTTTTAAGATTTAGATCCTTGAGATACATATTTCTCTCGAGTCCATCCATCAAGTACAGACATCCATTATCTTAGAGCTAGCAATTTTCTAAAGAGAGTTTAGTGACGGATGCATTTGTCCATAAAGCTTGAGATAATTCATTCAGAGTTCTTCCTTGAAGATTATTATCATCAAGTATTAGATTCTTTAATTTATTATTCCTTTTTATTCCAGAATAGAGACTGACTGCCCCTTAATGAGTGAATTGTGTTTCTTATAGATTTAGTGATTCTAATACGAGACCTCCTTTGGCTAATAAATCCCCTATAAATTTGATACCCTTATTCTTTAAAGGATTTTTTGCCAAATTCAAATCTCTTATTCTGGTTGAGGGAAATATTTTGAATAAAATCTCAATCCCATCTCCAGTAATTTCATTTAATGCTATATTTAACTTCATTAAAGTTTGATTTTAACCCTGCTATAATCCTTCACATATGTATTACAAACCCTTATTTCCAATGAAATTCCCACTAACATTTAAAATTGTGAGATAGAGATTATAAGCAAGAACGGTCTTCAGTGGTTATACACCTTTAGCTCCAAGAGTGTTTCTGTTTAAACCTTCAAATGATGACAAGTTCACATCAATAATCGAATTATTATATCCCAAAGCATTGAATATAGCTTAACCTCCTGATGAAGTTAATTCATTTGATGATAAATCAAGTGCAACAAGTGTAGAATTTTTCATGATAAATCTAGAAATTATTTTGGCACCTTCGTCTCCAATCTAATTCTTGGGAATAATAACTTTTGATATATTTGGATTTTGTTACATAAGTCTGACTAAAACTTTAGCAGATATCGGCCCTAGATTCATCTAAATTACAATAAAAATAAGCTAATATATACCTCACTTAAGTATAGCTTACGGTTCACACAATATTTTTAACAATAATCAGTAAACCTACTGAACTAATTTTGGAAAAACTATATTTTTAAATCCTGAATTTTCGCATTGAAAATATCAATTATCTCTCCTATATTCATAACTTATTCCTTCAAATCTAATGATTAACTAAAATTGTGAAATATTTAAAATAGTAATTTTAGCTTACTCAATTTGGACAGCATATGCCTTTTTTCTAAAACTTTAATCACCAACTGTAAAAGAATTGTCAAATAACACACTCTATTAATGGCCCATTGAAGCTAAATTTTTATTGTAACCAATACTCTATCAGGACTATCCTCCAAATAATGATAATGCAGACATTGGTCTATTGTGGCTTTGTGTTTATGGAGATTGTTAGAAAGTTTAAAAGTTTTTAGAGGCTTAAGTTTACATTAATGGAGTAGAATCTTTGAAGTTTAATGTTTTTTGGAAAAGCTATGATTTATTTTTTTGAATAGCTGATGACGGCCTTGATCTTGCTTTAGATTATTTATGATGCTCAGCTATAAGACTAATAGCTTCAGCATTAGGTTAAATATTTGGGGATTTGAAGTTATTGGCAGGAAGAGCAGTCCTTGAACTCTATGGCCTAATCGATTGTTTTCTTGATTTTATTTGAGGCGTTGTAAAGCCAGATGGCTTTTAAGGAATAACTTGTTTAAATAGCAGTGCTGTTGAATTCTTGGCTTTTTCAGGCGATTTGCTGATCTCAACTGAGTACCTTTAATTTCTTATGGTCTAAGGATTAATTATCTGAGCAGATTAATTTCTTCTCATTCCACCAATCACCTAGCCCATCATAGGCCCTATCTATGTTCTCGCATACATGTCTTTCTTGGAAACTTTATTAATATATCTATCGTTGGGACTTCTTTCTCTTGACATCTAAAGATTATATTGAAGAAAAATTTTACTGTTTGCTAATTTTCTGATTCAGCCTAATCTAAAAGCTATTACAATTTATCATAGTGGAATCTAACTTCCGAATTTTCTATAAGTTTCATTGAAGTTTGTATTTAGCTCATTTATTTATGATAAAATCTGAATAAATATTAATTAGAATAAACTAATTATAGTTTCTGATTTTGTCCTCCGGGGTTTTGGGGTTTTGGGGTTTTGGGG